GGCTGCTGCCTCTGCTGGTCTGGGAGGGGAACGGGGCGGAGCGGCCCGCTTTCAACCCCGCGCACCCTTCGACCCCGGAAGCGCTAACCGCCCCGGGGGCCGGCGAGGCGACTGCGTCGTCCAAACCTTTCCCTCGCAAAGCGGACGGCCTCCCTAGAGCCTAGAGAGGCTCCTCGGACAGCGTCAGCATCAGCGAGACCGAGGCCGATGGCGAATAGCGAGGTGTATGATAGAGCGGCAGCATGGGGGCGAGGAGGAAACTGCGACCCCTAGTGGAATGGCTGGGAAGCTCGGGCGTTAAGTGCGGAGCGGTGGCAGCGAGTCGCCATAGATTGAGAGGAGAAGGGATGAGTGGGGAGGGAGAGAGAGGAAAATCCAGCGGTCTATTCTAATTTCTTTTTTAACTGCCACATTGAACATACCTACTGCACTAGCTCCTTACGCGTAAAGTTTGTGGTTAAAAGGCAAACTATTAAGCATTTACCTTTCATTTTTAGGAAGAACTTGTGGTTCAGCAGTAACTGAAAGGGAAGACTATTTTTGTAAACAGTGCCATCTAGTACTGTAGAAGAAACGAGAGCGTTAGAGAAGCCCTATTCTGCAATCCAGGATAAAATACTGACTGAAGGCCGGGCGCCGGTGGCTCACGCCTGTAATCCCAGCTACTCAGGAAGCTGAGATCTAAGGATCTCGGTTCGAAGCCAGCCCGGGAGGAAAGTCCGTGAAACTCTTATCTCCAATAAACCACTAGGAAACCAGAAGTGGCGCTGTGGCTCAAGCGGTAGAGCGCTCGCCTTGAGTTGAAGAGCTGAGGGACAGCGCCCAGGCCCAGAGTTCAAGCCCCACGACTGACAAAAAAAAAAATACTAATTGATTCAGGCAAGTGTTGTCAATCATTAAAGTTTTAAGAGAAAAATTGTTAGGAAACTGTATCATCATAGTGTCAATTATCACCACATAGATTACTTTCAGATTGCACAGTAAAATAACGTATAAACAGATTTGGCAGTTGCCACCTTACTCAAAGAAGTGATGAAACTTTACATCACTTGTATTAGGACAACTTCCATGGTGTGTGATTCAATGAGAAGTACAGAGCATAATCTATTAAATCTTGCATGCTGGGCATACACTCTACCACTGAGCTGTATTTCCTGCCCTTAGCCTACTAATTGTTTTCAAATGTAATGGAATTTTAAGTTTAAAAACTAATTGAATTACCCCCATAAACGTGTACAATTACTGTATACATAAGAATATTGAATACCAACAACGTGTTTTTAAAGTATTCTTGCCAAAAGCATTAAATCATAATCTAATTAATCCATTAGATCTAATTTGCACTATATAGGAAATTTATTAAGAACAGAAACAGATTAGGAAGACCTTGTAGTTCATCAGTAACTGTAAGTAATTAAACACCAACAAAAGCCAAGAACAATGGCTCGTGCCTATAATCCTGGCTACTTGGGTAACTGATATCAGTAAGATTCAGATACAAGGCCAGCCTGGGAAAAACTTTATAAGACCCTATCTCAACCAATAAAAAGTTGGGTGTGCAGCCCCTTTTTTCCCTTCAATTTTTTGTTTTCTTTTGTTTTTGTCGGTTGTGAGGCCTGAACTCTGAGCTACAGTGCCACTTCCGGTTTTCTGAAGGTTCATTGGAGATAAGAGTTTCACAGACTTTCCTGCTTGGGCTGGCTTTGAACAACGATCCTCAGATCTCAGCCTCCTGAGTAGCTAGAATTACAGGCGTGAACCACCGGCACCCAGCTTTTTCCATGAGACTCTTATTTCCAATTAATCACCAGAAAACTAGAAGTGGCACTGTGTCTCAAAGTGGTAAAGCACTATCCTTGAGCTGAAGAGCACAGGGACAGTGCCCAAGCCCAAATTTCAAACCCTATGACCAACAAACAAAAAAAATGTTTTGTAGAATCTTACGTTTTTGCCTGTGGTGGGCCACAATTCTCCAACCTAGTTTTTTGTTTTGTTTTGCTTTGCTCTGTGAGTGTGTGTGTGTGTGTGTGTGTGTGTGAGAGAGAGAGAGAGAGACCGCATGGGTACTGGGGCTTGAACTCAAAGCTTGGGCTTTGTCTGAGCAATTTTGCTCAAGGCTATCACTCCACCATTTAATCCATAGCTCCACTTCCAGCTTTTTTGGTGCTTAATTGGAGATAAGAGTCTCACAGGAGCTGGGAAGGTAGCTCCGTGGTAAGAGTGATTGCCTTACATGCATGAGGCCCTGGGTTCAATTCCTCAGCACCACATAAGCAGACAAATCTGAAAGTGGTGCTGTGGCTCAGGTGAGCCTTGAGCTGAAGAGCTGATGGACAGTGCCCAGGCCCAGAGTTCAGGCCCCATGACCACCAAAAAAAAAAAAAAAAAGTCTCACAGACTTTCCTGCGAAGACTGGCTTTGAACCACCATCCTCAGATCTCAGCCTCTTGAGGAGCTAGGATTACAAGTGTGAGCCCCTCGTGTCTTGGCCCTACCTAATTCTTTATAGCTGGGATCACAGTTGTATACCATCATGCCTGGTTAGGGATCTCCTTAACTTTTCCCCTTGAACTTTAGTCCTCCTATCTCCACCTCCTTATTGAGGTAACGGGATGTGAACCACTTCCCACCCTACCCCCCAAGCCTGACACAGAATGGCTCAAATCATGTTTTGGTTTGTTTTTTGTTTTTGTTTTTTTACTGGCTCTGGGACATGAACTCAAGGCCTGAGCACTATTCCTTAACTTTGTTGCTCATGGCAAGCACTCTTTTTTTTTTTTTTTGGTCCGGTTGTGGTGCTTGAACTCTGGGCCTGGGCACTGTCCCTCAGCTCTTCAGCTCAAGGCTAGCGCTCTACCACTTGAGCCACAGCGCCACTTCCGGCTTTTTTTCATTTTGCTTATGTGGTGCTGAGGAATCGAACCCAGGGCCTCAGGCATGCAAGGCAAGCACTCTACCACTGAGCCACCTTCCCAGCCCCATGGCAAGCACTCTTATCACTGGAACAACAGCTCCACTTCAGATTTTCTTTTTGTTCTTAATTGCAAATAAGAGTTTCATGGACTTTCCTCCCCAGACTGCTTTTGAACCATGATCTTCAGATCTCAGCCTTCTGAGTAACTAGCTAGGATTACAGGCATGAGCCACTGCAGCCCAACTTCAAACAGTTTTGGTGAATGACTTCATAAACCTTTAGGAAAAGTTCTGGAAAATCATAGAGGAAAATGTGAGATATTCATACTATAACCAAGTGAGTGTGCATCTTCTCCAATGAGAAAGGGACAGTTGTTTTTACTCTGATATGAGTTGATTCTGCTTTGTTAAACCTTAGCAATAAATATCTCCATGGAACATAGAAAAAAGCCGCAAGTGGCGCTGTGGCTCAAGTGGTAGAGCGCTAGCCTTGAGCTGAAGAGCTGAGGGACAGCGCCCAGGCCCAGAGTTCAGGCCCCACGACCAGACACAAAAAAAAAAAAAAAAACATGGGACTCTCAGGCTGGGAAGGTGGCTCAGTGGTAGAATGCTTGCTTCTGATGCCCTGGTTTCGATTCCTCAGTACCACATAAATAGAAAAAGCCAGAAGTGGCACTGTGGCTCAAGTGGTAGAGCACTAGCCTTGAGCTGAAGAACAGTGCCCAGGCCCACAGTTCAAGCCCCATAACCAAACAAAAACAAAACAAAAGCCAAGTGGGAGGCTTGGCTCAAGTACTAGAGAGCCAGTTGTGAGCAAAACAAACCAAGACAAATGAGTGCAAAGCCCCTGAGTTCAAGATCCATTGGGGAGGGGGAAAGGGTAGCAAAACACACACACACACACACACAGACACACACACACACACACACACACACACACACACACGAAAAAGCCAGTTACTGGTGACTCAAGCCTATAATTCTAGCTACTCAGGAGATATTAAGAATACACTTCAAAGCCAGCCTGGGGAGAAAAGTATGTGAGACTCATCTCCAATTAACCACCAGAAAAACTGGAAGTGGAGATGTGTCTCCCAGTGGTAGAGCACTATCCTTGAGCAAAAGAGTTCAAGGACAGTGCCAGGCCCTGAGTTCAAGCCAACAACAACAAAATATTCTGCAGGTAGATACCAGGGGGCATAGCCCTGAAGACTCAGCATTATTAATGCAGGAGGAGCCTGAGTTTAGGACTAGCCTCAGTTACATAGTCAAACCGAAAACAAAACAGAGAGACTAGAAACACTAACTAGATAGACTAACTAACAAGCAAAAGGCCCTGAATGCAAAACCCACTAGTGAGGACAAAAAGAGAGGCAAGAAAATGAGAGAAAATTAAAGATAACAAAGTAACATAACATGTGGTCCACATGTATATTTGGATCCTGGTTTTGTGGGTAGAAAACCATATAGTATACAGGAACAAGTCAGAAAATTCAAACATAAACAATAATAGGTAATATTAGGAAGTATTGTTAATTAATTGTGATAATATTGTGCTTATAAGTAAGCGCTTTAACAGAAAGAATGAAAACTTTTGAAATTGTAAAAGGAAGAAACATGTCCAGTCTACATGGGAAAGACTCATTGCCCCATTAAGCACCAAAGAAGATGGAAGTAGAGCAGTGGCTCAAGTGGATAGAGGACTAGCTTAGAACATAAAAGCTCAGGGAGGAGCTAAGAATGTAGCTTAGCAGTAGAGTGCTTTCCTAGCAAGCATGAAACCCTGGGTTCAATTCCTCAGTACTACATAAACAGAAAAAGCTGGAAGTGGGGCTGTGGCTTAAGTGTTAAGAGTGCTAACCTGAGCAAAAGAAGCTCAGGAACACTGCCCAGGCCCTGAGTTTAAGCCCCA